CGAATAAACAATTTAGTAAGGCGGGCAGGCAGGTATATAGTTAGGAGGGGTGGTGGTGGCGCTAAGCTAACGTGGAAGGCAAACAATGAGTTGCTGAGGTAGCGAAAATAAATTGGATTTTCCTATTTTCATTTTAATTTTGGTGTTTTAATATGTATTTTGAATATATTAAATATATTTTTTTTTAAATTTAAGTATAAATATTACAATAGATTGGTATTAACTATACCTTATGGAATATTTAATTTATTTTTAATTTAAATATTATTTTAATTTTAATTTTAATATTTTTTTAAATTTAATTTCAATATTTATTAATATTAGTTTAACTATTAATTTTTATTTTTATTTATATATTAATTTAATATTAAATTTTTCTTAATTTTTACTTCTTAATTTTATTTTTAAAATTTTAATAATTTTTTTTATAATAATCTTTTTTTTTATTTTTTGTAATTAATTATAATATCAATTTTATTTTAATTTTAATAATAATTTCAAAATTTTTTTTTTCAATTTTTTTAAATTAGTTTCAAATTTAATTTTTATTTTAGTTTTAATTTTAATTTCAATTTTAATTTTTCTCTAATATTAATTTTTATTTTTATTTTAATTCCAATTTTAATTTCTATTTTAATTTTTGTTTTTATTTTAATTTTAATTTATTTTCAAGTTTCTTAATTTTAATTAATTAAAAAATTTTTTTTCAATATTAGTTTTTATTTTTTTTAACTTTGATTTTATTAATTTTTATTAGTTTTTATAATTAATTTTCTTAATTTTAATTTAAATTTTTTAATTTTAATTTTTATTGTTTTTTAATTTTCATTTTAATCATTCACCTTATAGTCCGAACCCCGCACCAAGCGATTACCATCTGTTCTTGTCTGTGACGAATTAGTTAGCAGGTGAAGTAGTGAACTCAAGAGAAGCCTTTGAAAAAGATGATTCCACTAATGCTATGAGAGCGGCATAATGACATTACCTTCAAAACGACAAAAAGTTATCGAGCAAAACGTTGCATATTTTTCAGAAACCAGATAGTTGTAACCATGATAAATAAAGCCATAAATTTTTTTTTTAATTTATTTATTTGTTCAATTGGAATTTGAAATCTAATTTTGTTCATTATTTTGAATATCTTTTTCAGTATTATAATTCTTTTTTTTTTATTTTCATTTTATTTTATTTAAATTTGTAGTTGTGTAAACTTATAAATCTTTCTAATACTTTTTTAATTTCTTTATTTATTTTTTGAGTTGATTTAAGTTTAGATGAATTAAAAATTTTGTATTTTAAATACATTTCTAATTTAAAAAAAAGTAATTTTCTTTTTACTATTTTTATTTAAATTTTTTCATTATGGTTTATATGCAAAATTTATATTCTTTCAATTTTTCGTTCCATATTTTTCAATAAATATATTTTATTTCTTAAAACTTTTTTTTATTTGTTTTAATATGTTTTATGTTTGTTTTTTATATTATATGGAATGGAATTACATTATTTAAATTTTAGTTTTTTTACATTTAATATTTGTGTTTACTAAATTTTTACATTTTGTAATCATTATTTTATGAAAAAAAAATTATTTTTATGGCTAAGATTTTTGTATTTTCTATAGATTTTTTTAAAAAGTATATTTAAAAAAAATATTTTTTTTTAATTTTTTTTTAATGTAATTTTTTTCTTACTTAGTATATTAATTGAAATTGCATCACTATAATTAAAAATTTATTTCTACTTTATTTGTAATTTTTGCCCTGATTAGTATATTTTTTAAATACATTTATTAATATTTTATAATGGTTTTCTTGTTAATTTTTAAATTACTTAAATGTTATTATATGGAATGGAATTCCATTCAATTTTAATAATTTTCTTTCTTACATAATAATATAACTTTTTTATTTTTATCATTTTCGCATTATTTATTTTGTATTATTATGTTTAGTTAAAAATAAATCAATAATTACGTTTTTGTGTTTTTTAATAACTTTTAATTTTTTCTTCTTAATATTTATTAACCTAATAATTGATAATTTTAGTAAAACACTTTTCGATTTTTTATTACATGCAATAGAATTGCATTTTTTGATTTACATAAATTTTTATATTTATTTGTTTTTAATTATTTTTTAAAATTGTTTTAATAATTTTTATAATTTACTACATGCAAATGCACTTTTTTATTTTGGTTTTATTGGTTTAAACTATTTTTTAAGCCGTTTGTTTTTATGTTTTTTCCTTTCCTTTGATGTTTCTTAGTATTTATTATTGTATGCTATATGGATTTTTTTTTTAATTTTTCTGTCTATTGCATAATTTCTTATAATTTTTTTATTTTAAATTTTTTAACATTTTTTTATTTGAATTACGTTTTTTGTATATTCTATTTATTTTATATCTATATTTTTAAATTTTATGCAATTTCGTAAGCCACTTTGATTTTAATTTGCGATATTCGACTGAACATGCCACCGTTTGTGGCATAAGAGAGGCGGAGAGGCAACACCACCTTAACTGCAGGCAACAGCAACCGATGAAACACAATGAAATGTCACAACCGATAGCAGTAAATTGACAAATGTTTCATTTTTTACTTTTTATCTTTCAAAAACTATTCAAGAATCGCCTTAGCGACAGCGGCAACATTGTGTCGCTTACACAGTTTGGGGCAACCTACAGCTGAGCTGAAAAGTTCACCACAATGAAATATTTACGTTACCAGAAAAAAAAATAAAAAAATTAACAGAAAATAAAAATTCACTGACATTGATTGACACAATCGAGCGCACGATATTTAAATGATCGCCTGTCGTGGCCCGTCGGGGGCAAATCAACGCTGTCGTCAAGCAATGCCATAACAGTAATAGCAACAATAATAGATACTAAATGATTATGTGCATTACAAAACAAAAACAACAACATGCTGGTAATACACACACACATACAAACATTAATAGTAAATACTTTAGTAGCGACAGTAGCAACGATTACGTCGGCTGTGGCAGAGCCAACCGCAGCATTTGATTGCCATTGGAGTTACCACGATGTATTTTGTATATTCAACTGTCAAATGGCGACGAGCTCACGGTGTGCATCTTGATGTTCTTCTTTAGGGGCCTTACAGGGCTTCCGAACGGCTGATGATTCTTTATGAAGAACTTTTTATTTCAAGCCTGTTCCATAGCTTCGGATGGTCAGGGCTCGAAGCCAACCATGCGCATACCAACAAATACAGTTAGAGCACGGTCGGATTCGGTTTGTATACCTTGGGACTGAATGCGCTGGTCGGCCCTAGTCGGGTTTACTCGTAAGTATACCTCCGATCATTTATACAATGTATGCCAAATTTTTGGATAACCAGGCTAGTCAGCCAAGGATCAACCAACGACTGTTGGAAAATTTAGCCTTCACAACGAAACATCCTCTAATGGGTTGAGGCTGATCGACTTCGCCGGGGCCTAATATATGGTTGTCTGTTGTACTAGATTCCAGCACAAAAAACACACCAAGCTACTTGGCTGTCCCCCGATCGAAAAACACAAAACCAGATCGATCATGTTGTGTTAGACAGAAGACATGTCTCTAGTGTTCTTGACGAGCGTAAGGTACGAGCACCCAACATCGATTCGGACCACAATCTTGTTGCAGCGAAGATACGTCGAAGGAAAGTTCGACGTTGAAAAGTTACAATCACAACAGACTGCAGAACGATTTTCTATTCGACTTGCACTCCTGCTGTACGTAAGGACGGTATCGCAAACTCCCTACGCACAGCTGCAAACGAAATTATTGGATTTCATAAAGTTCGCAAACACAGCTGGTACGATGAAGACTGCCGTGTCGCAGTGGAGAGAAAATAGACTGCCTACCACACGTGTGCCCCACAGCACGTGTGGGGTGGAATAGATATCGAGAGATGAAGAGGAAAGCCAGACGCATCTGCAGACAAAAAAGAATAAGGCCGAGATGCGTGAGTATGAAGAGCTTAAGAAGCTGGCCGACTGCTGCTGCTCCAAATTTCTATGAAAAGATATGACAACTTACGGAAAGTTTCAAGACCGGAGCAGACTCTTGTAGGACACAAAGAGGTGATGAGGAAACACCTCCCCAACGTGCTGAATACTAGTGAAAATGGTGAACTCGAAACTACAATCGAAAAGACGTTCCATTACCTGACCATAAAGACGTTCGAATAGCAATCGCCCGCTTAAAAAACAACAAAGCAATGGTAGCTGACGGCCTAGCGGCAAAACTATTCAAACATGGCGGTGAGAGCTGACAAGGTGCATGCATCAGCTACTTTGCAGAATATGGTCGGACGAAAGCATGCCCGAAGATTGGAATGCAAAAGCTCCAAATTTAAACGTTTTACTGGCTCCGCCTTTAATAAATTCTCTCCAGCTAAGTAACTTTAATTAAGAATTACAACGTTAAGACTCAGGCCTCCGATTTTTTAGGGTGAGCTCTTGTCTCTGTATGGCAAGATCACTCATATTATCTTTAAGTTCTCGGCTGCTTCTAGCGTAAGCGATGATAAATTTTTTGGTAATATCTTAATTTCTTCTTCTTCTTTTTCCTTGGCACAGGCACCGCATAGTGATTATAGCCGTGCAAGACAGTCGTAACTTCCCAAAATGTAGCTTTCAGAACGTGCCAAACGGAAATGACAAGTAACGGAAAATAGCAAAGACATAAACCACAAATGAGCATAGCTCTAGTTGAATTTATCAGACTTTCGGTGTAAACTCATAATATTATCACCTTGTATTTTTATGAAGAAACTATTTTCAATTTTTTTTAAACCGTCTTAGAATAGAAAAGACATCAAAATTAGAGTTCTTCAATTAATTTGTTGGAACTTTATGATTTTTTAGTGTAACTCAACTCGACATCACTAATCTCTCAATGTGTGAGGTACAGAATTAATGCCCACCAGGTGGCAACATCACAAACAGCTGTTCGAATTTGATTACTGCTTTTGTTTTGCTGCATGACTACATACTCTACCAACTCTACGTCAGAAAAGGAAATTATTGAACTATTACTGCTGATTTAAAGAATTTTTTCATATTATAATTAGTGAATTCAGTGTAAAAATAGTTTGAAATGTTTTGAGCTCATATCGTGGCCATCTCGTGGAGTATGTGCTGTTTGGTGAGCAATTCGTAGCATAGAAGACAACGCGACTACAGCGCTATGCCAAAACCAATTCGCCAGCTAGCGAGGCAGCAGTGAATACCAAGTTGCAATAACTGAGAGAGAGCTAAAGGACAATGTGGCCACGATTTCTTGGCCGACGTATACTCTACATAACCATCACATTTCTTGCCGTAATATTTCTACTAACAAATTTACTTAAGGTAAGCCCAATAAAATACTTTGAAGCATTTTAAAACAACATTCATGCACCTACTTACCCACAGTTTGGCGGTCTGCGTGCACTACATGCAGACAATGTGTTTACCGTACAACGAACACGTCCGCTCATCTGGCGTACACTACAGGAACATCTACTGCCCGAAGAGTCACAAAATCGCACCAATGATCCAGACATTCAATGCCGTAATTCCGTGCAGGGACGCGATTTGCTCGTCGATGATCGAGGTTTTCTCTGCCGACGCGAACATCTCTTGTCGCCCAGCAGTTGTTGTGATATCGAAGTGCCCGAAACGCAGTACTACACATGCGATACATGTAATGCAACAACACATTGTTGTGATATATATGAATATTGTGTATCTTGCTGTCTGCATCCATCGAAACGTACACTGCTGGAGCTAGTGCTACGCACCATAACCGGACGGCAAGCAGCTGTTTATGCACGTGTGGAGGATCATTTCGAATTGTGTTTGGTCAAATGCCGCACTAATTCACACTCTGTGGCGCATGAAAACAAATATCGTGATGGCACGCCCAAATATTGTTATGGTCAGACGGAAGCGCACGAATCGCAACGTGAAGTGTCGGGTGGTGTGGCACGTTGATTGTGCTCCCATATAAATTGCGTGCGGGCGTGAGATGTGTGTTTGCTTAAAAAAATTTGCTTTGTGTGCATATTAATGACTGACTGAGGACATCTACATTTAGTTTAATAGTAGTAATAATAAGTGGGGTTATTGGCTTTATTTGCAGGAGATTATGAAGCAAACCAACAAAGTTATTTTTTAACAAACTTAATTTAATTTAATTTAATTTAACTCTGCCAATGCTTTTTATACATAAGTTGTTAATATTTTATGTCTAAATGAAAATATTTATGCATGACTTAGTTGGAATAACTGTAAATGACGATCAAGTTAGTTAGTAATTAGTTCTTTAGCTAACTAGAGTGACATTCTTTAAAAAGAAAACTAAAACGGGAAATTATCATGACAAAGAAATCTTAAGTATTAAATTATTATTAATACGGCCCAGGTATAATTAGATTTAAGTTCTCTAGTTTTATCTTACTTCTCAAGTAATACTCTACACTTTTGTTTACCAAAAGTTGAAAATTAATATTAATAATCACATTAATAAAAATAATGTTTAATTTTTTACACTTAATTTTGTGTTTGCATGTTCGAAATCATCTTGTAACCGCAAAATTATTCGTCAAATTGATTTTCAGGGAATATTGTGGTAGGGACGGGTGTATAGAGACGCGACTGTCGCGATATTTTAGTCTTATCGCGGTAAACAGCTTGCCGAGTGTGCTCTACACGAATCAATGTTGTTGTTGCTGTAGCTGCAAAAATATTCCACAATATTTTTGAGCCGGATAAATATTCGAGTCGTGCTGGTATAAAGACCCGACTGTCGTAGGAACTTTTTGGTTTTGGTCGCCTTTTACGACTGGCAACCCGTACCGCTAAAAAATTCTTGAACCCTTACCCCGCAAGGGCTTAGATGACTCCATCATTGTCGTTATTGTTTAATTTTAATTTGAAAAAAATAATAACCATCTAACCACCTCTTCACATGCCAACTTAAGCCGGCACATCTACCCCGCTCTCCCTCTGGTCTGATCCCGAAACAGCACGTTTCCTTAACCTCTCGTTGTATGACCCCGGTGTCTTAGATTGATTTTAAACCTGTCCCTAAGCAAAGTTAACGTAGCCGATCCTAAAACAACTACAACAGCAACGAACCTCTACAATCCAATGAAGCTCCTACAGCATGACTACAACAACAGACGATATATCGTATATGTGCAATGGAGCGACACCCAGCTCTACATACCCTGTGCGAAGTACTCAACGGTGCGCTATATTGTCTGTTTCCTGTGTTAGGATGCACTTCATGTGTGTCTGTCATTCTGCCCCACATACAAATACTACACAGCGCCTACTACTACCAAGGGCGACAGTCCTCTCAGCGGGTAATACCGCCGTCACATACAAAAGCCGTATTTTACTCACCCTGTATTACGAACCCACTCCCGAGACAAACTATTTTCATCGGACGCCAGGTGAAGATCGAGGAGGAGGCAATATCTCTTTGGTTGTCGCTCAGTAATCCAAAGTTACTTGAGAGCGGCATTCGCCAGTCAGTATTCCTTCAGCAAATACAGATCCAGCAAATAAAATCACTAGTCGAGAGTATCTGGGTGAGAAGTCAAAGGAACATTGCTTGCGAGCTACAAGGCCTTCGATCATAAGCTACGTCGTGCCGATTTGGACAGCGGGGACTAGCGAAACGCAAATAACGATTGTACACAGACTTGAAAACTACGATAGAAAAGCTTCTGATGTCGTCGAAATCCAACTATATGCGTAACTGTTTGAGGGCTTCCTCGTGAGACTAAAGTACTAATGGCACGGTTAAGGTCTGGGTACAGCAGTAAACTCAATTCCTATCTTTCAGACTCACTGCCTGAAATGAATCAACCCGCACGACACTAACCACCTTAGCCCGTCCACTAAAATCCACTCATTCCCTCTCCACCCGGGCTGAACTAGTCGAAACGCTAGTTTCTTGAGACTTCCATAAGACATCGACTTCATCCGTATGAGCAAACCGGGGAAATGAAAACCCTACAAAAACACTGAAATAAAAAAAAATAATTCATAGATTTTGAATTATTTTAAGTGCAGATCTCTTATTTAAATATCGAACTTGTGGTTGGGGCATAAATTCATCACTTTGGATTTCAAAAACTCAATTTTTTTTCATTTCCTTCATGGAGTCTTTTTTGTGCATAAATAAAAAGAAATATATATTTACAAAAATTTTACGATTTAATTACGCAGAAAAAGCTCGCAATGAGTTTCACAGTCCGTTATCGTGAAAGTTGCGAAGGAAAACTTTCCAAAAGTTCGAGAAACAAAATCGAATTATACACACTCGATGAGATCGTGCAAACAATGCAGATTGTCGTGCACACAACGATTCACACAGCGGCGCAATGGGTTTTGAGCGACGTGCGTGGCGAGTTCTTCTATCCCGATCCCAAAATTACGACAACAACCACTAGCGTCTACCCCGATTTCCTCAATTTCGATGCAATGTATAAGGAGAAGTATATAAATTGGATAAATATACAAGATTTCTCGGTGAACGAAATATTTTCACAAGTACGTGATTATATACATTTGTGGAATTTATCGGAATGTACGAAATTCTCGCTCGCCACCAATGACCGGGCGAATGTAATACCGAATAAGGGTGCGAAATATTTCATTGATGCAACATTTTCGAAACCCACACCCGCTTGCCCGAACCCCTTGGCAGTGGCGAAAGTCTTCTTTACAGCCATCGTACCGAGTCACCTACCAAAACACTATCCCATTATGGTAACATATCGGTTTGAGGGCTTTCGTACGCAATACCATGTACATGGCAGGCATGAGGTGCGTAGTAAGGATTTTCAAAGATTTTTCATCGATTCGATATTGCAAAGGAAATTGGTTTTCTACTCAAGAATATTCGAATGTCGTCATCCAGACATTAAATTAAAAAGAGAATCCGTATATGAAGGTCAAGCGGAGTCGGAGGAATTGCCCAAAAGCGATGAGAATGGTGCTGCTGATGATGAGAATTTTGATGTTGAAAATATGCGGGATAAGGATATGGATTTTATGAGCCTAATTGGCGCGATTTTGAAGAAATAAATGATGAGTTGTGCGAAATAAAAGAGGTGTTAAGCGGAGGCTTGGATCTACGGTTTTATATTAAATTTTTGAACTAAAAATTATAACAGAGACTCAGCAAGAGCATAATCTTGAATAGCCAAATGCAAGATATAAAGAAGTTGTTAATTGATTTGGTGCAGGAAGTGAATGATGTAGCGATTTCGCCTTCCATTGTGTTCTACTGGTGGAGCAACATGAAAGTGAGGCTTCCAAAACTTAAACTCGTAAATTTTGCGCAATTTTTGTTTTGTAGTGTCTGATTTTATGCCAGAAGTCCGATATCACTGAATTCTACTAAGCCGTCCTTCTGGCAGCCGCGAGACTATCAGTGCTTACTACCAATCGGAAAGCCAGGTATCGAGTTCTGGTCTGACCAGCATCCGAAGTTATAGATAGTTTATGTTTCTAATTGCGATCGCCACTCGGCAGGGAATGCTAACCCCTCCAAGTGTATTTCCAATATAAAAAATACAAATTCCTCATAAAAAGCCGTCGACCGTTCGGCTTCAACCCTCGTAATTCTCACTTTTCTGACATTTAGCTCCAGAGCCGGTATCCCATTTAAATGAAAACTGTTATAGAAATATAGTCACTGGTATGTGTGCTCATCTTGCTAGAGCTGGTTCTATGCAGGCTTCCATTAGTCCACAGCCCTTGTATTCTCTTCTTAAGTCAACTTTACGATTATTAGAAAAATTCTAGAGCATAAGCTTATATGGAAAGTTTTTTGGTTCAAATGACATTAATCGACCAAGAAAGTTTTAGTTGTTCCTCTCCTCTTTTTGGCGGCTGGATATCAGAGCTCTAGTACGGTTGTGTCTGACCAAGCAATTTGTGAAGCCAACTGCCGATGACTGCCTAAACAAGACGTCCCGATATTGATATTTATTTATTACTTTTTTACTGCCAAGCATTTACAACTCTCGCTATTCAACTTCACAACGCCGAAGGCGTATAACTTTCGACTGTTCGACGAGCATCCTAAAGTTACTGTGCCATTTTCTAGCTTACAAACCCTAACTTCGCCTACAACCGCGAAATCAAATTCAGCTAGCGACTGTTGCAAAGATAAAGAAAAATTGCTGGCTACTCAAAAAACGTCGGGGTCGAATGAGACGCAGAATTCCGCAACCGGACCAACAGATGTCATCATCTTCATTACGAGACATCAATGCATAATTTTATACTTTGAAAGCAGCATACGTTTAGAATAATCCTTGCAGATACCTATCCACAACATATGCGTTTACGGAAAGTTTTAGGCAATGGGAACCACTTTCAAGAATACCCAGCAGTACCGCTGGACGCGAAGTATTATCGACAGGTCTTGAACGCCGTTCTCAAACAGACACTCAGCAGCCCTCTTTGTATGAAAGATTCGTCATTTCAATCCGGCCACCATCCATAGCCTAAGAAAAAGACGAGCTGTCTTACGAGATCCAACTAATACTGAATCATATGATGTCCGTAAACCCAGTGTCCAGCTAAAATGAACGTCTCTAATAAATTTCCCTTTGGCACGAGCCCGTCGAATTTGCTTTGCTTGTTTGACTTTCGTTAGATCTTTCTCGTTATTAGATAACTCATAGAGCAAAAGCTCAACTTGAAGACTCAAAAGCTCTATTAGCTTTGATCTAGTAAGGTTTTCTGTGCTCCCAAACGTTTTCGAAAATATTTTGTAAGCACCCAAAGAACTACAGATCCCATGAAAACGTTTCATTTCACCTCATTTAGGCAAACCCGGTGTCTTCCTTATAAAAGTTTACTGTATGAACGTTCATTCGGTTGAACATTTTTCTCGTATTACTTCGGGTCGGTGGAGATCTTTTCAATGAGGATGTGCAGCAATAGCCGTTCGAGAATTTCCTACCGAGTTCCTTCGTAGTACACAAATTCTAAAGTTGCTCTTTTCACTCCCCCCCCTTCGTCGAATCGTTAACAGGTTTGACCTTGCCTTCTTTACGATAATTTACATGTATATTTTTAAAAGATTAGTTACCGTTACATGTTACAAAGTTAAAGAGATTTCTTACATACGTACAAACTTCACAATTTTCTTGGAACTTTTGCGCAACAAAACCTTGCCCAGTGGTTGACCGAAGCCCTCGTACTGCTGATAGACATGCAGACCACGCACAACTGTGGCGTGCACGACACCGCGTAAGCGCTGGTCCATGTAGGGAGTGGCCTTATTTGTTGAGAAGAGCATATCTGCGGAGACGCTGAACTCCTCCTCCGGATCCCATATACAAAAGTCTGCATCATAACCTTCCTCAATTTTGCATTTAAAACTCGATAGACCACACAGCGCTGCCGGATTTTGACACATCAGACGATAAATGTGCTCTATGCCAAGACCATGCGCATGGCAGTGAGTCCAAACAATGGAGAGTCCCAATTGCAGCGATGAAACTCCCGGCCAGGCATTTAAAAAGTTGCCACGTGCACGTCCGTAGTTCAAACACTTAACCCCCGGCGTGGCGGGTGAGTGATTGGATGCAATAATATCTAAGCAACCATTTTTTAGCGCCTCCCACAGTGCGGGCTGATTTGATTTGTTACGTATTGGCGGTAGAGCTTTGAACTCGGTGTGACAATCATCAATTTGCTCGGCAGACAAGGTGAGATAGTGAGGACAAGTTTCTGCGGTTAGATTAGCGCCACTGCGTTTGCACTGCGCCACAATGGGGAGTACATCCGCGGAGCTAATATTCATAATATGTAAATGTTTGCTGGAAGATCGAAGGAATAGAACGCTTAATTTTATCTTGAATTTCATACGCTTACCCTTTATTCGTCATAGCCAACTGGCTGATCAATTGCACGGCATTCACTTCCATTTCAGCGGGATGTGTACGCGAGAAGGACTCATATTTCTTGGGTTCCTCCTCATCGGGTTGTATCGGCTGCTTCAACGGCAATTCGGCGCTAAACTAAAGTAAGCAATAGTACAAAAATTTTGTAGTATTCACTGTATATACTCACAGCCAATACAGTATCATCTTCCAATTTGACAATCACCTCCTCCAACTCTTTTCGATTTATGGCGGGGAAAGCATCACCAACTGGCGCCGGTGTTGGTGCGAGCGTGCATTGTAGACCGATGACACCGGCACCGAGCAAGAGTTCGGCATCTCGGCCGTTACCCTGCACAAGTCCACCCCAAAAACCAACATCCACATAAATCTTACCACGTGCAACGGCTGTCTTTGTTTTTAGCGCGGTTACACTGGTTGTAGGCGGTATGGTGTTACTGCAAGCATATTAAATATGTATGTGTGTATATGTATTCTTTATTTATAAACAACATTCACAAGTTTTAGCGCTCCTTGTTTTGCTCAGTATTTTTGTTTACATCTGATTCTATTATAGCATAAATGTACATACGTGGGCCGATCGATGATCGTCGTGAAACCGCCCGCCGCTGCTGCTTTAGTAGCCGCCATGAAACCCTCCCAGTCTTTGCGACCCGGTTCGCTAATATTTACATTGGCGTCTATGAGACCCGGCATGAGTACTTTGTCACCAAAATCATAGACCTACGACAAGGCAAAACAAATATAGTGAGCTTATATTTGATAAGCGAGCCATAGTCGGTCTGTTAACCGGCAAAATAGAACAAATCCTCTCTCGCTCTCATTCTCACTCTCTCATTTTTTCACATTTAATTTCTTGAATCTCTTACCGCTTCCGATTCTGTGTTGTAGACATATGTATTCACCTCCTGCGCTGTGCGCAAGACCTTACGTATTATGCCCTCTGTGTCGACGATAATGCCGCCGTTCAGGAATCCCTGCTCGGTGCCCAAGAAAATACGTTTGCTAAGGAAAAGCAAATCCATTTCGTAGTTAAAATCACAATGAAGGATAACAAGCACTTTGACTCTTAACCGTGTAATAAAATCACTTCCATTTCTTTAGGTAGGTCTCAGTTTTTGTGTATTTTCTGCACTGAATGAAGAAAATATTTTATGTTTAGTTCTATTTTTAGAAAGTTCTTATTCGTTGTGTATTTCCACGCACGATCACTTAAAAGAACTGAACACCACGTAAAGCAAATCATTTTCATTTTATTCTGAGGAGAAAAGCTCAAAAAGCTGTGGTGAGTATACTGAATTACGAGGTGAAATCTATGTAGTTTTGAAATTTTTTTAAAAAGTTTATAAAGTGTCTGAATATTGTCGACTTATTGTACTTTGGCACAGAACTTAGCTCCATTGTCGGAGTATACTGGTTGTAACGCCTCTCGGCAAGTAACGTCAAGGCCTCCGACTGTTGCATGAAATAAAAGCTCCACATAAAACTACATCGACCATTCAGAGTCGAGAACCTAATATTACTGGCACAATTGAGGTATGGGTACTGTAGTAGAGCTAAGACCTACCTATCTACATAAACTCGTCGAAAAAAGCTCATTTTCTGGACACGCCGTTCGATGACCTCGACGGCTTATACTAACATTGACGCTACAACAACAGCCCATGTACTTATGACACTGCTGATGCTATTACTTGTTGTTTTATTCTACAACATACCCATACCATACCCTCATTCGTATGTATGTACATACGAGGGGATTAACCAAATAATAAATAGTCGGTCCCACTATTTGTTGGTAAACATCAAGACGCTTCCACAAATCGGAGGAGGAACTCGGCCAATTATAGTTTCAGCGGTTACAAAGCGCCAATTCTATACATATAATATGGTAGACCATAGATACAGCACTTAAATGGATTTGATGGGCTGACCAGCAAAAAACTACATCTTGCAGCCATGTCCTGTTCTTTTCGAATTATTTTATTGGCCATTTCGTTGAGGACGCACGACCCATCCGTCCAATGGTATAGAGCCTATCCATCTACGAAGACAATCCTCAAAGCCAAAACTAAGAACTGAACCGATCTGTGGAAGCCATTTCACAGCGGCGGGACTATGTAAAGAGATGTAGAAGTGCTTGGTATCCACATTTACTCGGACTCATTCTTAGAATCGGTAGGAGTCAGGGCTTATATCCTCTCCATTGTTCATTCCACGGTAGGTCATCGTCTGGCGGCGACAAAAGTTTCACATGTGATGAAGCAAAAGTCCACAACTCCTGCCAATCGAGGTACTGCGGTGACACCGATCTAGCTACAGAGAAAACATCAACGAGTGATAGAGAGGAGCTAACCTCTTCTCATTTCAATACGCCAACACAAAGTCTAAATATACGAGAATATGAAGGGAAGCAAATGACAGACTTTTACGCTTTCCTTTCAACGCTTTCTAACGCTAAATTAGTTGAAACTAGAGAAGCACTGAAGGTCCTGGGGCACTTCTAACCCTGGACGAAACATTTGGATTATGGGAGGCGAACTGATTGAAAAATTTTACCTGCATCAAGCGAAAGTATACTATTATTGTTATTGGTGTACCAGAAGGAAAATATTTACTACGAAATCGCGTTGAAAGTACTCTGAAATAGGGACTGCCTCGGAAGTTTTAAAAGCTTTATTTTCATCCCTCCGAACGATATTGCTCCAGCGCTGAAGATGTCTATTAATTTGCAATTTGCTAACCAATACAAATCATTGTTTTTCTATATTCCATACAACTCAAAATCTTCGGTACGCACGCTGTTACTTTAATCCTAAGGTTCCAAGAAGCTTTTCGAAAAAACTCTCTCCAGAAATTTTTTACGCAGGATTGACGATTAATAGAATGTTTTCATGGCTTATGTTTCTATAGCTACGTTAATGATGAGCGACATGTAAGAGGGTTTTGCTTGTAGGGAAGGCAGCATCAAAATCGACAAAGAGGTAACGTGTGTCTTCACTTTTTTTTCTGTGTTTACAAGTATCTTCAGTCCGATCACTGGTCCTATAAAGTTCGTTTACTGCTCCCTACTCTCTGTCCCCCAAAACTTCAGACAAGTATACGTAAGCCATATCGTCAAGACTAATCTCAAAATAATTGGTGAAAACTGTGTGGTCCCTAATGTTATGGACTATACAGAGCACATTCAGGTTTTAAGCGTTCGTCACGCTTTCGTCGGACCATTCTACAAAGCAGCTAAAACATACACCTTGCTTGCTCTTCCCTGTCAAGTATGAATAGCTTAGCAGGTAATCCATCGGAAATCGTCGCTTTGCCATGTTTCAAGCGAGCAAGGGTTATTCGAATTTTTTCCATAGTCGGAGAGTTGGAAAAGTGTTTGTTTTCGAGCATTTCGCCTTGTAAGTAAATTTCGCAAGACCTTCATACTTCCACATTTAAGCATATTTATTTTTTCATTTAGAAAATGTGTTTCGCTTTTATAACTTTTGGTATCTTTCACATGCAGATTCTTCTTTGGTGTTTAATTCGCCGTAATGTATGCAATCATTTCACTTTAAATCTTTTTGTCTACTCTTTGTTTTGTCAGCACTCAATTTCTGAAGAAACAGAAGCGAAAATTTGTCAGATTATCAAACACAATATTTCCATTCAGTTTCACTAAAAGTTTTAAATGTTTACACTTTTTTCAAAACAACATAAACTTACATATTTTCAAACAGCTCACGCGCACATTTTTCGTAAAATTTCTCAACATAACAACCAACCACGAAAGAAAAATCATAGCAACACAAAATTTATTTACCAAAAAGGCGTTGTTGGTTCAATAAATCGCGTTATATTTAAGAATACACAGCCATACATACACATGTGCAATGGAAGATATGCACGCGTACTCCGGCGGCCATAAATTCTGATAAACTCTGAATGTTATAACACTCAAATAGGACATTTAGCGGCACATGCTCGATTCTTAATTGTTTTGATTGCTCCGAAAACCACTTTGATAAGGATATTAGCAAATAAATCAAACACGAGCGGGCAAACGCTAAATATAACACAACATTACTTTTCGTGAATCAAATAATTTAAATATAAAAGCAAAGAATTTGATTAAATGTATGGCAGGTGAGTCTTGCTGCTGAGTATTCTTAGTACATTATTTAACCTTAGCTGAGCAAAACACACACAAATGTTTAAGTACACAAATATACATATGTTATTAATATATTCTCTTTAATTTGTATACTTATTTTGAAAAAAAAAAAAATGTTCAAAAATTATAAATTGAAAAAACATCAACGCAGAGCTGGTAATACGGTGCCACATGAGCGTATGCGTGTAAGTTTCTGCACCGACTTGGATAAATCAGTTTTGGTGAATAATTTCGAAAAACGCGGTTGGACGCAAGTGAGTCCGGATGATGATTGGAATTTCTATTGGGCTAGTGTACAGACATGTCGCAATATATTTAGTGTTGACAGTGGCTATCGTATGCATGATAATCAGTGAGTGTATTTGTTGGCGTTCATTTTGTTATAAACGTGTATAATTATAATTAATACTAAACTTCCAGAATGATCAATCATTTTCCAAATCATTATGAACTTTCACGTAAGGACTTGTTGGTAAAAAATATTAAACGTTATCGTAAGGATCTTGAGAGGGAAGGTAATCCGTTGGCGGAACGTTCTGAGCCCACTGCGGCGGGAGCGCCTCGTTATGTGTATTTGGATTTTGTACCAATCACTTTTGTTTTGCCGGCTGGTATGTACTTGTATATTGTTAACTCGATTTGATTTTTAAATTTTTTTAAATAACTTTTCTTACATTTTTTTGTTCTCATTAAAATTTTTTCGAAGTTGTGATGAGCTTGGGTGACTATTTTTTAGACTTCCGATATATTTTTAAATTAAAATAAGCGATTCCATTGCATTTTATACTTCTTCACTACATTAAATAGGATAACGCTTTAATTCCACCACACGATATATAATATTTATTTTTTTAAAAGTATTCTTTTAATTTCTTTTATTAAGTCTAATTATTTATATCTTTTATCTTTCTTTTAATTCGATATCAATTTTATTAGGTTTTTTTTTTGTTTTTTTTTCATTATATAACATTAATTTATATATTCATCACATGAAATATTTTTTTATTTAAAATATATAATATTCATTATTATATTTATTTTGCAAATCTAAGAATGGTGCTTATTAAAAACGATAATTAATTAAGTTTATTCCATTTTCATTTAACAACACATCACATTTGATCAATTCATTAGCTAACTTGTTTACTGTTTTTTTTTTTCAGATTACAACATGTTTGTTGAAGAATATCGTAAAAACCCACAAAGCACTTGGATTATGAAACCCTGTGGCAAGTCGCAGGGTGCCGGCATATTCCTAATCAATAAACTATCGAAATTGAAGCGTTGGTCACGTGAAGCAAAAGGTCCCTTCCATCAGCAATTGTCCAAGGAAAGCTATGTGATTTCAAAGTAAGCCTACAAACTTTCCTTATACGATAAAAACACAAATTAACTTTAAATTCATTCAACTTCAGATACATTGACAATCCACTACTGATTGGCGGCAAAAAATTCGATTTACGCCTCTACGTGTTGGTCACATCATTTCGTCCACTAAAAGCATATTTATTCAAACAGGGCTTCTGCCGTTTTTGCACTGTCAAATATGATACAAGCGTTACGGAGCTGGATAATATGTATGTACACTTGACGAATGTGAGTGTACAAAAGCATGGCGTAAGTTGGATGAACCGTTGTTATAAAACAAGTTAGCAGCTAACAAACATATCTACCACACTTTTTTTTTTTAATTTCCGCTGCTACTACTCTACTTCCTACGCGCTCAGGGCGAATATAACAATTTACATGGTGGCAAGTGGTCCGTACAGAATTTAGCACTTTACTTGGAAGGTACACGCGGCAAGGAGGTGACCGATCGTCTATTCGGTTCCATAGCCTGGTTAATTGTACACTCACTGCGCGCTGTAGCGCCTGTAATGGCTAGCGATCGCCATTGCTTTGAATGCTATGGCTATGACATTATTATCGACAACAATCTGAAGCCTTGGTTGGTGGAAGTAAATGCTTCGCCATCGCTCACCTCAACAACAGTCACTGATCGGATATTAAAATACAAATTGATTGATAATATATTATCGGTAGTGTTACCGCCCGACGGTGTACCCGAGTAAGTTGGGAGAATATTAATTATTTACTTAAGATTTTCACTTTTTACGAGGAGCACGAAAATAGCGGCAGACTACATGCTGTTAAAACGGTAAGCTGAAAATTTTTCAGCGAAACTTGAAAGTAGCGGAAGTTGTTTGTGTGTACTTTAGTTATTTCTATATAGCAGAGCTGTACACCTCAACTGCTGGTAATGCAGTTCGAGAGTGGTGTGTGAAGTCGCGCGTACTTAAAGCTGAACTTGAAATTAATTGAATTTTTGCAATTTTCATTTCTTTTATGTATTTACTTATTATGATAAATAGATTAAAATATTTATTTTATTCATTTTCAGCGTTCGTTGGAACAAGATACCCAGCGCTGACGCATTGGGTAATTTCGACCTTTTGTTGGATGAGGAGCTGGCAGCACAGGAAGAACAGGCACAGAATGCTCAACCCAGCACGAAAGGAAGAGGTGGTGGTAATCGTTGGAAGTGATGATAAAAATTATATTGTTTTTGGCGCTTTATACCCGCTGAAGTGACTTTCGGCCCAGCTCTTACTACAATTCGGGGTGTGCATGTTAAGATTTTATCTACTAATGGAGGGACCTACAGTTTGCGAAGATTTATTAAGCGGGGGTTTCTTAACTGCCGTGTATATTTTTTAATGTTAATTATTTTAAAGCGCTATCGTACTCATATTGGCATAAAATTATAAGTGAAAAATATAGATATAGACAAATACTTACGTGCTAACTTCGAGTGAGCATTTTATGGTCGGTATGGCAAATAATTTTTATGCATATTGAAATGTAAAACAAAATATTGTTATTTATAATTTTCAGCAAATTTCGCAATGAAGTGTTTGGTGAGTCGCTTCAGATATTACGCAAATCGCTTTTTAGCCCGCCATGAAAGCAAAATGCTCGAAATGTGGAAAATATTACCAGATATATATTCATAAATATATACTCGATTCCGATTTCATATAAGTATATATGAACAGTTTAGTCACAAACATGCAGCACATTATTTACACAAACATATACATATGTTAATTTTATTTATATTATTTCTTTATTATTATTTAAAACATAATTTCAAAATTTCATTTTCATTTTTATAACTATTAACTTACAGTTACATACATACATAAGTATTTAATTTTTAATTTCAAATTACAATTAACTTATATTGCTAAATACTTAATTATGTTATTAAATGGTAGTAGAAATTACAATAAAGTGTATGTAAAATTAAGTACTTTTCAATGAAACAAAAATAAAAAATAAGTTAATAAAACTACACAAAAATAAACAATAGCAAGAGAGAAATAAAAAATCAAAAAATTAAACAAATAAAATTAAAACAACGCAGCACACAAGTGCATACATATATTTATTTACATACATACACGTGTCAATACGTTTAACATATATATGTATATGAAATTAAAATGAAGTGAATGAAATGAACATCAAATGAACAAATTAACATTATAGCTAAACATACATATTTACAATTACATATGTACGCATATTATGTATGTATTAATGCCTTATGAGCTTAAATAGACAAATTAATGTTATTATTTACAAAATGTTTGGAATACGTTTCTATATATTCAATGAACAAACATATATACATATACATATTTGTGAAGTGCAGTTAATGAATGTGTTTAATGGTGTGGCTTTTATAAGTTGTTGAGATGGCTACAAGTTATAAAAGTGGAATTTTAACAAAATGTTGTTAGTTATTAAGCTTTATTTGTGTATAAGTACAAAAAGTCTCTTAAGAAACAAATGTTGTTGAACAATTTTCAAAAATCCTTTTTCAACCATTTTTAAAATAAATTTTTATTTTATTTTCTTAAATGTTACTCAAATAAATTTTCGATATTCCATAATTTTCATTAAATTTGCAATTTAATTTTTTGCAGTAAGTTAAGTTTTTTTTTTTTACAAAATTTTGAGGTTAGGTTTTTTATTTTTATTATATTTATATTAATTTCAGTGGCACTTTAGTTATAAGCAAAACTTTTTAATGACCATTGTAATATAGTTATGGAAAATATAATTTTTTTGTAAATAAATTACAAAACAACGCTCGTATTTTTCAGAAATAAGCGCTAAGTATGAAAATTGTATGTTTGTTGGACTTCTACAATAGTTTAAATACATAAACTAACAACAAAAATTGTATTTCAAGCATACGGTATAAAACTGCCACATTTGTATGATAAATTTAAAATATATATATGTTTATATTCGGAAAAATATATTCACAGAAATGATATACTTATTTAGAAAAAAATTATAATTCCACAAATTGCATATTTAGAAAATGTAGATGCATTTTTCATACATACATATGTTTTAATGTTTCAAATTAATAGTAGAAATGTGTAGCTCAGACATGACAGATTAACATTATATGTAAATAATATACAATTTCTTAAGCAATATATCAATATAAACTCTTTTATATGGACGTTTGGAGTTTTATTAAATTTTTTCTTTCTTTTGCTTTATAATTTTTAACTTTATTTTTTTTAAGCAAAAAAAATTAACATTTTTATTTTCTAAGCAAAGTAATTGCTTTTTCGGCGAAAAAAAATTAATTATTTAATTTAAACATATATTTAATTAGATGCTCGCTAACTTCCCCAATTTTACTTCCAATTTGTAGTTTAACCATATACCTTAAATACGTATATATCTTTTAAAGCCAAATTCAAGCTTTCTCAGCAAATAAAAATGTAAAATTAATTTTTCGCTCATGAGCGTGTTTTTATTTTTATTGTTTTCGTGATTTCGCGCACCTAACCTCTCTTTCAGCATTTTTTCTTTTTCGTTTCACTTACATTCTAAACGCTATTTTAATATATATGTATCAAATGTACATACATATTAATTTTTTCGTATGTTTCGTTATTTGCATTAACAAATTTTACATGAATATTCGATTTATTATTACTCAATAATTTTTATAATGTCACTTAGACTTTCCGCAGAGAAAAATATTAATAATAATAATTAAGTTTAATTTTAAAACAATACTGTTCAAATTGCAATTTAAATAAATTTTGCAACGGAATGTACATTACGGAATGATGTATGTGTGTTTATGTGTAAGTTTGTAAGCAGAAAATATAAATTTATATTTTTAAATTTTCATTTAAGCAATTTATATTTGATATTCAGCACTATTTTCTCAGCCCTTAATTAAGATTTTTTTCTTCTTTTTTCATTTTCTTAATTTTACACACTTAAAATTATTATTTATTACAAATTCCACATATTTAGGTTATGTAATGCCAGCACTTGCTTTTGTTATTGTATTTGTTTTGCATTTTTGCGTTTTTTCGTTTCGTTACAGTCTCATAATTTAAGGATTTTTGTTTCATTTCCTGTGTGTGTGTGTGTGTGGAGAGTGTGCCATATTTTTATTATTTTTATTTTTCTCTCAGCCAATTTCTGCTCATTAACAGCTTGACAATTATAATTTTTTTGACTTAGAAAACAAAAAACACGCGAAACGGCGGCGTAGGCGCTCTGCTGGCTGTTGGCTGCGCTCAACACTCGGTGGCCAAATAAAAAATCTCCACTACATCCGAGTCAATATCCTCATAATCATTGTCGCCGCCCCCGCCATCATCATCATCATCGCAACCAACACCACCACCACCACCACCAACAGCGGCGCTGACCGTGCACGCGCGTTCCACTACACCTCTAGATTGCACCTCGCCACGCCTTGGGCGCAGCACCGGCACCTATAGTCACACCTTCGACGCGTGCGGTTGTGTTCCATTTGCGCCAACGACGGCGCTTGCAAATTGCGGCTGCTGTTTTTGTACCGTTTGGTATGTGGGTTGTGCTGCAATGGCGGCTGAACTCTGATCGCGTATGGTCACGTGCGTAACGAAGGGGCCACGACTGCGTGCGCTGCTATTGAGTGAGGCTGGTGAGAAGCCATTCATGGCGGCCACCTTCCAGTGGGGTTGTGTGGCTTGTGGACCGAGTGTTTGCTGTTGTGCCTGTTGTTGTTGTTGTTGCTGTTGATGGTGGTGATTGCTATTGTTATGTTGCTGTTGCTGTTGCTGCTGCTGCACGCCATTGACGGTTACTGGCGAGTGATGTCCATTCTGTTTGAGACTACCGTTGCGCAGTTGATGATGTTGCGCTGCCGCCGCTGCAGGACTCACATTATGCTGCACCGTCTCATACTCATAGTAGGTGGATGTCGGCCTCAGCATGCCACTCTTATCAATACCACCGTTGCCGACGTGGTTGTTCATGCTCATGGCGGCGTGATGATGATGTTGCTGAAAGTTGATGTCCTGTGAACGTGCACTGCGCTGGGAATGGTAATGCTGATGACGTCGACTGCACAGTACACCAAAATATATACGCATATGTATGTATGTACGGCAAAGCGGCATTGGGGAAGCGATGAAGTATATATGGAAAAGAGAACGTTTACAGAAAGGGGGAAAAATGGCATGAGTAATGGTTGATATTGCGACGTTATAGGTTTTATATTCATGTACAAAGCAATGAGATAATTTGGAAAAGTCATACAAAGCATGAAATAATAAAGCGGGGAGAGTGTGGAAAGGGGCATGCAAAAATGTTTAATGAAAAAATTTACTAATAAAAAATTTGTTTTCTTTTTTGCTTCTGCGGACATTAGAATGCAAGTAACCAATCAAGAAAATATATATGTATGTAGTTAAAAATGAAATAATAAAAAATTAAAAATAAAAATAAAATTAAAAATGGGTTAATTTAACTAATTACAATAAATACTTATTAACTAACAACTTTTTTATGTATGTAACTACAAAAAAGCCCAAAAACCGAAAAAATATTTTCTTTGCGACTATGAAAAGAAAAAACATGATATCGCCTCTCAAGGAAAAGCCAAAAATGCTCCTTTATAAATATATACATATGAAATTGGCGCTCAATAAGCGCTGCAGTACGCGTCTGGTTGTTTTTTCCACAAACGGAGAGACCTACTAAGCCTCCTCCGAGCTGCTGTTAGTTTTTTATAAGGAATTTTCTATTTCATGCGAGAAATAAACTCGGAAGGGTTGAAATTCCCTGCGGAGGTGCAATCGTGATTAGAGAAATCAATTTTTTTTAACTTAATTCTCTATAATTTTTGGATGTTGGTCGAACCAAGCCTCGAAGCCAGTGAGGGAAATAATTCAGTGCACAACAGATTGAGTACACTCGTGACAGCAGGAATGATTATTTTGAAGTCGACTCTCATGAGTACACTCGTGACACCAGGAATGATTATTTTGAAGCCGACTCTCATGAGAGTCGGTTCTAAGAACTGGAGTTGCCTAGAATTGTATTCGGCAAATAGCTGTCACATTTTACCTAATCCCGTAAATTTAGTCTGAGTACATCAACGAGCTACATCAGTGCAGCAGGGTTACTTCAAATCATCTTTCTCAATAGGGCCCAAAGGTCTAATTAACAGCACACGCACTCTCTCTCTCTCTTGCTCTCTGTCTCTTTTTCTCTTGCTCTCTCTCTCTATCTCTTTCTCTCTTTGTCTTCCTCTCTCTCTCTCTCGCTCCTCTCTCAATCTCGGTCTCTTTCTCTCTGCACGTTTTTCCCACTTTGAAGATTCCGTAAGTGATTACGCTTCCACAAAACCATCAGCCCATACAAAATAAACATGCTGATACTAATAACTGAATCCAGCAAGAGCAGAATTCCTCGCCAAGATTCTCAACCTGTCTCTGAGACCACTGGAAACTGGAAGGAGTAGTCTCGTTATCAAATCTAGGGAAACCTGCTAACGAAGGTGAATCACATGGGCCGAAAACACTCCGGTCTCCAGGAAGAGACTTTAAGCCTTTTTGCTTCCGCCTTTTGCTGAGCACAGCAGCACATCAGCATAGCTTCCACAAAGTGTGCAGCACTACAACTGCTCTTAACGGCAAATTAGTCCATCCACCAACACGGGCAACAAATGTAGCTGTGTTCGTCCACTTAATGGACTCGTGCAAGAATAGAAGAGGAACGACCATCACGCCAGTGGCACGTTCGGTGAATGGGTTCAAAATGAGATGATCGCCAACCTGGACTTTCAGAAGAAGGTTTATTCAATTATGACGCTCACTTTCGCTTAAATAAAAACGAAATTGTCACATTTAGAGTGATGGTAGTAAACATGCCTTTGTTGAGACACCGTTACTTCCGCAAAATGTCACTGTTTGTGTATACTAAGGGCAGAGAGGAAGGAATCATTGGTCCATATTTCTTCAAAAAGAAGCTTGAGGTCTCGATTAATGACATTTTTGTGTCTAAACTCGAAGTTGATGATGTGGAGGAAGGCCAACAAAATGGCTGCCATAGAACCAACCGAACAATCAATTTGTTAAAGGAAACTTTTGGTGATTGTCGCGACCTCGAAGATCATAAAGATGGTTTAGATTTTCTCGAATTTCATTTTTCATTTTTACAAGTCTTGGAAAATTGTGCCGGTGATTGCAAAAAGAATATACGTCCGATCGAAAAAAGTCAAAGATACCTAGCTTCAGTATTTTCTTTTTGAAATAAAAAAATTGCACAAAGTATTATTTAAAATATTTTTTTGTTGCAACTTGAAGTGTTTTTTAAACACTCTTTTTTTCTTTGTTCAAACTTCGAAAAAATGTTGAATTTAAAATTTTTTAGTACATATAGAAGAGACACTCCTAAAAATTAAAAACAAAAAATTAGTTCGACTGTTTCAGTTGCATCGCACGACCTTCATCATCAGCACCGTTTTACGAGTTTAGACTGCAGCAGTTGCAGAGAAATCATCACAATTTTGGAAAAATCCAATTTTCTTTTCATACCAGAAACTGTTTTTTAAGCGTAGTGAAATTTTTTAATTGCGGTCGCCCTTCGGCAGGGAATGTCAAGGCTTTCGAGTGTATTTATGACATGAAAAAATGCTCCTCATAAAAAACTATCAGCCGTTTGAACGCGGCTTAGTATAAACTGTGGGCCCCTCCATTTGTTGGGAAAATATCAAGAGGCAAAACCAAAAATTTGTATTTTTTAGGGGAGCCATACATTGAGCTTCTCTTTATATATATATAATATATATAATTAGCGCTTTGTAACCGTGGAAGCGATCTTCGGCCGGATGAGAGCGGCATAATGACATCAATTTCAACCAAATGGCAAAAGTTCTAAATTCTAATTATGGTTAAGTAATTTCAAGCAAAAATAATGGATTACCTTTTACTAGCTCTAGTATTAAACTAAAAATAATATTAAATGACAATTTAAAAAACCATAAACAGAAATTATTACACAATAATCATGCAGTTATTACTCCAAATTGTCAGTTATTAATATTATAACTAAAGAAAAAAAAATTGAATAAAATTAAAAAAGTTTATAGAAAAAATATAAAGAAAAAAACTAAATTAAATAAACTAACAGTGTTAACAAGCATACAAATATATTTTTGTGTATATAAATAAATAACATGCAACGCCTAAAACCAAGTTAATATATTTAATATTAAAATAACTATAAAATATAATTAAATTTGCAATTACTTTAATTCAAAGCAAATCCAATCTTCCGATTTCAAACGCACATATCTAGGGGTATAGCTGCAATTCATAGCGGAACCAAAGCGGGAATACCAAAAACAAATATATCCAGAGTTAATAAGCTTTTCAATTTATTTGGCAGCGGAGTGTATTAAATACATTTGTATGTAGAAAAAAGTATTGCAACCACAGCACATACATATACAAACGAAGTGTATACATATGCGTATGCGTATGCATTCGTATGCTGTTTCTTTTTGCATATTTATATACTACTTTGTGTATATGTGTGTATGGGTGCGCATGTGTGTTAAATTTTGCTAGTGCAGTTAGTAGTTACCTTTCCGCCTCGACTTTAATGCGCTGCCTGATAACTTGTTGCCGCATGCATTCTAATGTCGACTCCGATAAAACATCTGTACTATTTTGATTCTGATTTTGTTTAGTTGAGTTGTTTTCGCTTTCGCTGCTTTTTTTTGCATTTTTATTTTCAATTTTTTTTTTTGTAATTAATATATTTTTTTAAATAATTTTTTTTAATATGCATAATTTTTTTTTCAATATTATGCAGTTTTTTTTTTTTTTTTTTACAAATTTTGGCACAAAAAAAAAATATAAAATTAAAAATTAAACGGAAAGTAGAAGTGATTTGGTGATTGGTGATGGGAAGAGAAAAGAGAAAATGTGAGAGCCATTAAAGATAAAGTGAAAATGTCAAAGTGTATTTATGTAATATGTATGTATATATGTGAGCATGTAAATGTTTTTCGCATGCGCTGAGGCGACTTTCATGCTTTTTTTTTTTTTTTTTTTTTGAAAATTGCATAAAAAACTCGCTAATTTCAATGAAAGCACGCGCTTCAGCTCACACAGTAAATTTACGTATACATACGTATGCATTTATGTGTCTATATGTGTATGTATGTATGTATGTATGTATGTATGTATGTATAACAAGAAATGTCCATGTGCGTTATAATAGCCTTTATGGATGAGAAATATATAATTTGTACAAAAAGTTTTTGTTATGCGAAGCAAACGCGCGCTCACCTAATCTGCTGTTGATGCAGTTCATCATAGTTGGCGTAGTGTTGATAACGATGATTGAAAATATCATTGTGATGTATGCCGCCATTCGAGTTCGTTGCGGACAAATTGCCCGCCGCACTCGTATTTCCGCCCGGTCCCGCGCTATTGGCTGGCGGTAAGGGTGGCGGCGGTTGGTAGGCTGGCGGCAGCAATTTTGTATTGCGATCCAATGCCGCCAAGGCTGCAGCAGGCAACTGATTATTGGGCAAAGTAGCTGGTGGTCGTTCGGCCACCGAGACGACGGCGTTGGCTGTTGCTGTTTCTACCGGTACAACGCCATCTTTGCGATTCTTGCCGAAGCGAAACATATGACCAATGCCGCGCAAGATACTTGGCTTCTTAGCACGCGATTTGTGTTTGCCATCGTTCAATGAACTTTGAAAGGGACCATTGCGGTGTGCGAAACCGCCATCCTGATCGGTGCCCTCTTCGAGCAACCAATGTTTGCGTGGCTCTGTTGTGTTGTGAGGAAGAGAATACAAATATTTTGAAAAAAATTTAGTTTTTTTTTACTTTAAATTTTATGATTGCAAACTTACTGCCCGCCTCTGGATCTGCAACCACAGCGGCACGTAAGCTATCCTCACGTCCTCGTCCACGTGGTGCACGCAATGCTGTTGGTCCGCGTGGTTCATCGGACATTTGTATCTCTTGCACCATGGTCTGCAGTGACTCCAGCGATGAGGATTTCTTCAAACCCAACGAGGGACCCAAATCGCCCACCTGGTCGCGCGCTTCGGCTTGCAGCTGTTGCGCCTCAACACCCGATGCCGTCTTTGTATGCTTATAACCGGGTATTTGCGCATTGGCATTGGCGATTCGCGCAGTGAGCGACTCCATGGAGCCGCCATAAATGGCAGATTTTGTTAATTGTATGCGTCGCTCACGTTCACGCTCTTCACGCAATTTTTTGTTGCGTTGGTAGGTGCCCGTTTCACGCGCATCCAAGGCGGCATGGTGTTTTTCAGATATCGAACGACGTCCGAGTGCGTCACGTGAAAAATGCTCCACACCCGAATTGTTCGTTTCGAGACTCAATTGTGAGGAGTAGGTAGCGTCGAAGCCGGGTGGCGCTGTGCTGGAGTTTGGACCAACGCTACTGCTCTGTGTGCACACGGAATCGTTAGGATGGTGTGGCAGAGTGCTGTAAGCAGACGAGAATGGTACAATGGATAAATAAAATCTCAAAAAAAAAAAAATCGTAGAAATTTTTATCGCATGACAATACGAAACGTTTTTCTCGTCTTTTACTCACGGTGACATTGGCTCCGGATCGTCTTCGATCAAAACAGTGTTGTTGCTGTTGATATGACCATTCAACAGCTTTTGTTGATGCAATGCGGGGGACCAAGTATCATTTGTTGCCATATAGTAGCTCTCGTTGCGCAAGCCATGCACACCAGCGCTACCGGGCGGACCACCAATACCGCCAACAACAACTCCGCCAGCGCTCAAGTGATCACGTGAGGGACGTCGCACATGTTGTGATGAATTCGATGAGCAAACACCACCGGTTAGACGATCTAATACGGGATTGCTCCATCTATGGGAGATAAAAAATATAAAAATAACTATTAGAAATTCAATCTCAAGCCACCCAAACTAACCTGTTCATTTCATTGGTTGCATTCCCACCACCACCGCTACCACCAGCGCTGCGCGCCTCGTTCTTCTCCGGGCTCAGATAGATGACTGTAGCACCAGAATTATCACTCGCATTCGAGCTACTGTTCGCCGTCTGCTCGAGTATGTCACCCGAACTGGCGGAGCGTGCGATCTTACGTGCCACCGAAAGTGTTATCATGCCCGGATGTTTACCTGGATTGTTGACCATAGCACGTCGCAAGGTTTCCATTGCCTCGGCATTATTTTGACCCAACAGCGAGACACCATTCACACTCAAAAGTTGATCGTTCATGCGTAAGCGTCCATCTCTCGAAGCCGCACCGCCGTGTATGACATTCTTAACGAAAATACCCAGATCGCCATCGTGTTTCATGGAGCCGCTGCCGCCGCTGGAATTTGATGTGGTCTTACCTTTGACGCTAACACCCAGACCGGCTTTCTCCGTATCGTGCACGGGTATGTGTAGTGTGAGCACCTCACGCGAGCGCCAAGCTATGCCGGCTTGAAGGCTATCCTGTAGTGTTTGAGAGAGTAAAGAGTAAAGCGTGAAAAAGAATTGTGATTAGTCAGCTATCGCGGAATATTTCAAATTTACACTCACGCTTGAGGCTGCCGACTCGCTGCCCGCATCTATGAAGTGTTGAGATTCGTTCAACTGATATTGTTGGTGTTGCTGATGCTGTTCGAAGAGCGAGCGTGCGCTGTTGGACTTTTTAACACCGTTCGGCAGTTTATCCAGCTGCTGCTGCTGCTTCTGCAGCGAGGAGGGTAGCACCGGTGCTGGCGGCTTTGGCGGTGTGTTCATCAAAACGCGTTCCTTTTCCTCATAATTCTGTGGATGAGCACAAAAATTGTGTTTTAGATTTTCACTACACTCAATTCCATTCTTTCCCCTCTATCATACTTACAATTTCCCGCTCATCCTGAGCAGCCAACTCCTGCTGTCGCGACACGACCAAACGTACAGTGGCGCCCGGTTGTGTTGCACGCAATATCGACACGACATCGGTTTGCGTCTTCCCGGTCATTGGCACGCCATCCACTTCCAGCAAACGATCACCCGGTTTCAAGCGACCATCCTCAATTGCGGCACCACGTGGTAGTATATTTTTGATATATATCGGACAATGACCACCGGCCGGGTTATCGCGCGTTGTTACCGAAAAGCCCAAACCATTTGGACCCTTCTTTAGCACGATCTCGATTTTTCGTCCCAACTTGCGCGTATTCGCCACCTGTAGAGACGTGCCCACCGGCGCAGTGTGCGGTTTACGTGTCGGCGATACGGTCGCCACCTTGGTCTCCACCGACGAAGCCAACTTCTCTTCCGCCTCAATCATTTCGGCAACTTTCGAGTCGCGTCGACGGGACTTGCTGGCACTACGTTGATTAGCGCTACCACTGGCACGCAACACACGCACACGCAGCTCGGATGCCTCGAGCGAATGTCGCAAATAGTCTTGCACTTTACTCTCCGTCAGACCAATAAGTTTGGTGCCATTGATTTCGAGTATGCGATCACCGCGTCGCAAGCGCCCACGCTCAGCACGACTGCCGGGCTCTACATTTTGCACCAGCAAACCACCACCATGCTCGTTATCTGGCATGGCTGTCAGTCCAAGCGGACTGCCGTATTCATTGATGATGAGCAACATTTCGCCATCCTTTTCGCGTATCGACTCATAGGCCTGACCAAGCGGCTCCTTACGCTTGCTCTCACGTGGCAACGATTTCGTAGTATACATTTGACCTGGCGGCGCATATTGATTTGGCGAGTGTTGTTGTTGCGCGTGCTGCTGATGCTGCTGATTTTGCAGTTTCTCCGCCGCCTCCATCCACTTGTAACCCGTGCCATCGCCAAGAAATTGCATAGAGAGCCGACCGGAACGTGCGAAAGGCTGTTGCGCTGGTGCCGCGTTCGTATGCTGTTGACCATCATCTTCTTCCTCCCACTGCGGCGTTAAGTAACCACTCTTATCGAGTAATACACGCTCAGGCGAATCACCACCACAGTGTGGCGCGGCAGCGGACCAACGTTTATTGCCACCTTCCGCTTTCAACGAGGCGAGTAAATTCGGATCACTGCTGCGACGCACTTGCAGACCCAAACCGGTCATCGGGCCAGCAGTGGTGCTGGTGACTTCAATGTGTGGCGTCGTGGCATCACCACCACGCTGTCCATTTGTGGGCGCATCTGTGTTAGTGGGATCGCGAAAAATATCGGGCGAGCCGGTGCCCACCGAGGAGCTGCCAGAAGCACCATCACCGCCGCCCTGCGGTACGCCCGGATCTGGGCCGGAATCGTCAAAACTGGCAAGTATCTGTTCGCGATCATCGGCGACATCGCCGACACAGTCGTCCGGGTCGAGTATGCCCGACTGTGTTTGTAAATGGTGGACGGCAACCCAAGAGTCTGGTTCCTGTAAACAAAAGGGAAGAGAACTCATTAGAAAAGCGTTAAGAATGGCTAATAAGAAAACTTGGATTGTACAATAATTAAAAGTAATCAATATTCAGTTCGTCGGTAATATTTTTGCTTGCTGCCGTTCGTGACTTGGTAAGTTAATTTGATTCATTATGTGCCCATAAGGCTAGGCGAAGAATGTGACTTCCGCTGCGAAGAAGGCATAAAAGAATGTAGCATAAGTGATAAAAGTTTCATGCGTAAGTCAGCGTATTTCAAGTTCGTCAGAAGCATTACAGGAAATTTATTGATATTTTCATTAGAGGTCAGTGACATTTTTATTGTTTCTAGTTTTAAGCTGGAAAAAGTAGCTTGACGTGATAATGAAATTGAAAGATTCGATATTTATGCGCGTTTATTAGGGACTTTCACTAAAGCTCCATCTAAGGAAACCGTTAATAGAATTTAATTAAACTAAGTCGAACTATTTTCTAGCCAAAGGTTCCAAAAAGCACAGAATGAGGAAGGAAATGAAATAAAAGAAACCTCATCAAAATCAAAATAAAAGATTTTGCCTGATGCAAGTAGCTAAGAGAAAGTTTCACACTAAACAGATATATTCCCCAAATCGGTAAACCTCTATTTTTCAAAAAAGCAAAATAATTATTTCTCGACTTTCCAAAAAAAAAAAACTTTTTAAACTTTCCAAAAAAAAAGTTCGGACTTTCAGAAAAAACCTTTCCAAATTTAAAAAAAAAATTAAATTTTGAAAAAATAAAAACTTTCTTTATTTTCAAAAAGAATTTCGGGGTTTAAACAATAAAATTTAATTAAATAAGTGTTGCAAGATAAAGTTAACTTTTTAACTTGAAAATCTAAATTTAACTCACTTAATTTCATAGAAGCAAACAAATTAGTTACAGAAAGAATGTATGCCACATATTTTAAAAAAACATTTCAGACAAAAAATATGTGGACTTTCAAAAAAACTTTCTGTGCTCTCAAAAAACTTTCTAAACTTTCAAAAAAAAAAACTTTTAGGTCTTTCAAAAACTTTCTAGACTTAAAAAAAAAATTGTTGGTCAATCAAAGAAACTTTTCTGATTTTTCATAAGTTCAACTCAACTCACAAATGAAATTTAATTTAATTTCACGTTTCTGGAATGTCTGTACTCAAAAAAAAAAAAAAAAAAAATTTCTGGGTTTTCACAAAAAAAAAAAATAAATAAATAAACAAAAAAAAAGGAATACCCACAAAAAAATCAAATTGGTCAAAACAAGTGGATTTTTTTTTTGCATTTCAAAATTAAAAATTTCACACAAATAATTTTAGATTCACAGGGACCAGCTGAGCTTCAAACTGTTAGTGACGAAGCAAGCAACATTTCAAATTTCGAATAAAAAACTTTTCGTACTCTCAAAAAACAAAAAAAATTTCTCGATTTTCAAAAAAAAAAGACTTTCTGGACTTACAAAAAACACTTTCTGAACTTTCAAAAATCACTTACAAAAAAATTTCTTGCTTCTTAATTCAGATTCAATTTTTCACTCGCTTAATTTTATATGCAATGAGTTCAACTAAGCTCACAACTGCAATTTATTTTTGAAAAAAAAAAAAAAATTATGCATCACATTTGACACTTTTCCGTGACTCATAAAAGCCAAAATTACACATACGGATTCAGCATGACTGACTGCCACATGTGGGTGTATCAACGAATCCCGCAACAAGGCAAAGCCGAAAAAATGAATAAATGAATACTAGTCAAATTGTTGAAATGGATCTGAAAAATGATAAAAAGCAAGGAAAAAATCAAATAAATAAAGTAAGAAATAAAAAAGTACAAAATAAAAACAATTATGAATGAATAAAACAGTTCGCAGCAGAAAAACAAAGAATTTGGCAGCTTGTTTGGTCAAAATGTTTGTTGCACTTATTGTTTATTGTTGTGCTTTTATGGCATTGTTCATAGCTGTGAGAAAAAAAGTAAATCGTGAAAATTTTTTATATACATATATGTACATATTATATATATGTATATGAACGAAAGACTTCAATAGCAGCAAACTTAATGAAATACAAAGCGCGAACATGAAGGAATGAAGAAAAAAAATATTTTTTGTTGGAAATGTATATTAGACAGATGTTTAAATGCATATTTGCATAGACATATACATACATTCGCATGTATTATATTTACATATGCCTTTGAAACTGCCACGACGTGAATAACAAAAAGAAGAATACTAAAAAATTAATCATTTCTGGCCATTGCATCACAATAATGTATGCATAAATGAAGAAAATAAGATAAAAATAAATATGCACATTTCAAAACAATAAAAAATAAATACCATTTTATGCTGAATTTATTTATTTAATTTTTTTCTCATGGATCAAAAGATTCATCAAAAAAGCGAGGTTATGTTCAAAATTTTGGTTATTTGAATTCTAACCGTTTTTTAGGTTTTTGGAACGATTTCGAAACAGTTTTTTTGTTTTTTTTTTTCAATTTTCTCGTTTAATTTTCTATGTCCTTCTGAGTATCGTAAATTTTCAATAACGGTACGCCATATTGAAAAAATTTATAAACCACTTTTTTATACAAAAACTGATATATATTTTTTTTCACCCATGAAATAAAAATATACAGCTTAGTTCTTGGGAAAAAGCGTCCACCAATAGAAAAGGATTTTGTGTTTCATCTTGACAATGCCAGAACACATACGTACATCTTTGATGACCATACAAAAATCGACGCTGCTTGGTTGGGAAACTATTGTATGATGTAACCATAATATAAGCTTAGATCTTCATCATCTGGCTTTTATTTGTTTAAAAAAATATAAAATATACCGTTACCAGAAGGGCTAAAACTAACATCTAAAACTATATCATAGATTAACAGAAATAACGAAACAAAATACCAATAAAAATAGAAACAAAAATAAATAAATCCACAAAAGCGAAAAATCAAAGAACCGGAAACACGCCGCACTGACCAGCAGAGAGCCATCAGCCGCTGTTGGTAAATGAGTAAGGGAATACGTACGTGTACCGCATACCTTTATGAGTAAATTTAAGTATTTATCTACTTCATATTTAATTTTATTTTTTCGTTTTATCAGTTGAGCTGAAGGTGAGCGTGCAACTAAACTCACAAATCACTTCAAAATAGAAAAAATGTATAAATTTAAATTTATGGCCGCTTTTAATATTGCATAAACTTTTTTGTAAAGGAGAAAATATAAATAAATAAAATTTACATTTAAATATAATAGGCCAATAAATGTTGGCAATTTTAGTTTATATCACTTTTCATTGATTTCAAAAATTTATTAAGTGAATAGTTTAATTTCAAATAACCCATTCAGTAGCAAACAAAAACTACAGTCGGAAAACAAATGAGGCGGAGAAACATTTTTTGTTTTTTTACATTTATTTTTTATTTTTTAATGTGGGAATAAATAAAAAAAAAAACAATTTTAAAAGCGCTAAAACTCAAAATCAAAAAACTAAATATTAAGTAAAAAATAAAACACAATATAAGTTAAATAAAAAAAAGATATAATTATACCAAAAATATAATATATTGATATTAATAACAAAAAAAAATAATAATACATAAGTACATTGAGAAAAAATTAGAAAAATTTAATTTTAATATAATTTTCAAAAAAAAAAAAAAAAAGACAAACAAAAAAAAAAAATTCTAAAAAAAATAACAAAAAAATTTTAAAATTTTATTTCAATGTTATTTTCAAAAAAAAAAAAAAAAGAGACAAACAAAAAAAAAATTCTAAAAAAAAAAACAAAAATACTTTAAACTGTTATTGCAATGTTTTCACTATTTCCAAAAATATATGGTTTGCGACAGTTCCATGAAAACTTAAAACCAACAACAATTCATCAAAACAATGACCTGAAAAGGCTAAAACAAAAATATGTTTTTTTCCAATAAATGTGCTTATAAATATAATAAATTTAAACAAAATAAAAATAACCAAAAACTTAAAACCAGAACGAGGATTGTAAAAATAAAAAATTAATTGCATAAGAAATAAAAATTATATAAACAGAAATAAATAGTATATTAAATAAAATTTAAATCAAAATTTAAAAAATAACCAATTGAAAAAAAATTAATTAATTAAGCACATTTATTTTAAAAAAATTTGTTTTAGATTTTTTAGGTCATTGTTTTGATGAATTGTTGTTGGTCTTAAGTTTTATGGGGCTGTCGCAAACCATACATTTTTTGGAAATAGTGAAAAACTTGCAATAACAGAATAAAGTATTTATTTATATATATATAAAATAAACAAAAAAGAATAATATATTATTCCTCTATCTAAAAATATAAAAAAAAATTAATAAATTAATAAATGTATTATAATGAAATAAAATAGCAAAAAAAAAATTAAAAATAGAAGAAAATACAATAGAAAATCAAAAATTAAAGAAACAAAAAATAAATAAGAACAAATAAATAAATAAATAAAAACATATAGTTTAAGAAAATACAGATAAGTTACCGTTTATATGAGCTAAATGAAAAAAAAACAACAAATTTTAATGTTATTATGTTAAATACAATGCAAATATATTAAAATATAGATAAAAAATTAAAAAAAAAATAAGAAATGGAAAATTAAACAAAAATAAAAGAAATTTCAAAATAATACACAATTTCCAAATAATTTAAAATTATACGAAAAGCTAAAAAATATATGAAAAGATATATTACAAACAAATAAAAGAATTTTTGATGTTATTATTATTTTTAATACAATACAAAAATACTAAAATATTAATAAAAAATATTAAGAATAAAAATAATAACAAAAATATACGTTATTATTTGTTTGAATGTGTAACAATTATAAAAAAATATATCAAATGTATAAATAAAAGAAAAATAAAAAAATAAACAAAAGTAAAGAAAGGAAAAATTAATGAAAAATTAAATTTTTTTAATATTAAAAAAAATTTAAGCTTTACGATTAAGTTAACGT